GGGGGGGCGAGGTCTGGGTTTAGGATTTGAGTTTGGTTTCAGTTCTGTTTATTGAATTTATGATTCAATGCAACAAAATAAACACATTTAAAAGATAATGGATCATTGTAATACTTGGGTTTATTTACATAGTGACCAATTGCAGGCAGCACGGTGGTGCAGTTGGTAGAGCTGCTGCCTCTCAGTGAGCAGGTTGCCCTGGTTCAAATCCCGGCCGGGTCCCTTTCTGTGTGGAGTTTGCATGTTCTCTCCGTGCTGCGTGGGTTTTGTCCGGGTACTCCGGTTTCCTCCCACAGACCAAAAACATGCATGTTAGACTGATCGTCTCCAGGTGTCCCTGTGATAGACTGGAGACCTGTCCAGGGTGTCCTCGCCTTTCGCACAATGATGGCTGGACATGGGCACCAGTAACCCCTGTGAGCCGAAACGGAAGAAGCAGGTAAAGATAATGGATGGATGTACTTTAATTGCTGGATGTCCAGTCCCTGAGCTGCTGGCTTTCACAAACTGTGGCCCCTTGAGCAGTTTCGTTGATCAGCCCTGAGTTAGACTAAGATCTTTTGTTGAGAAATAAGGGATTTGGTCAAACTTTGAAAATGACGTTTTCTATGTCTGATCTGAGTTGTGTTGCAAATGACTCTCAGCTACTACCACACCACGTTTTAGCTCAATATCTGTAAAACACTCTGAGGTATACCCACTTTTGTGTAGGCTAATGTCAGTCCGCTGTGACAGCCATCTTGGATTGGATTACCTCTACAGCCAATAATTAAGTTCTGAGAGTTTTATTGACATCCATCCAGTGGTTCATGAAATATTTTGCCAATGGTACTTACACCTGAACACACACAGACAGACATGGGCTAACACACAACTGCTCCGTCTTCAGCTTCAGGTGCAAAATGGCCGTCTACACAAAGAGCATGTGTGTAACCAAGGCCAGATCATCTTCTCTGTAAGCACGGTTTATTGGCACACATAATGGTAAAGCATACATACCAGACATCAGATATGACACTGAACACCTCTGCTATATAATGTACAAATGGTGTCTAATAATACTAGGCTCAAACATATTTAGAAATGTGTTAGTTTCCTTACAAATGCACAAATAAATACCCAATAGATCCAATTGTAAAAAGACGCTGTAGTTGATTTCTTGTCCACTTTTTTTAAAAAACAAAGATCCAACAAAAGGTTTAGGAATATCCTGAAGTTAAATTCAATCAAAGAAAATAATTGAAAAAAATAAAATAAAATCTGTGGACAACTACAGGGATCTTAAAGACATTTCTGGATGGGAGTGGGTGGATGGGATTATTTTTTCTCATGTTAAAATTATATTTAAAAAAATTATTACAGTTTGTCACAAAATATTAAAAACAATCTGATCATGTGAGCGCGTGGCTGTTTTTGTCTATTCGTTTTTACCCTTTGTGGCTTTGGTTCTGCACTAGCTAGAGAGGACAAAGAACATTAGAAGGTAAAATAAACCAGCATCCACCCAAGCCACCCTACAGAAACCTGACCCTGCAGAACAAAAACAAAACAGCTGCCATGTCCGAACTGCGTTCAGTGGCTGATTGGACAAAATAGATTCCACCTCTATTTACAGAGCTACAAACCTCGTTACAGTGTTCCCAAACTGATGAACACAAAAAACAGAATCCAACTGATGTGTTTTTTTAAAGCACGTATATCAAACCGCTGAAATTCATAAAAAAACATGCAGGAAAAAGGCTTTAGTTCCAGTTTGGGAGTAGGTCATTAAAGGGAAAGAAGTCCAATTTTCCAGGAAGAAGAAAAGTAATAATAATTAAAGCATGAAAAGAATAATGCAACAATGCGTGTTGATAAAGTTCACATACTGATGGGCAAAATTACAATGTGACTGCAAAGGGTTCTGAAAGAAGCGAAATACCAACGGACTATAAACACAGTTAAACTGATTCGAATGAAATTACGATCTGTGAAGACTACCGTAATGTGAAAAACAAACAAAAAAACTATTCCAGGATGAGCTCTCCCCTCATTCAAAAAAAAAAAAAAAAAGCATCCATAGTGGTTAGTGAACTTTTATTTCCACTTAATTGGAAATGAAACTAAAGCGACAGTAGAAACAAACCGACGGCCGACTGAATTTCCAATAAAAATGCAATTCCCTCCAACGTTTCATTTGTGTCTAATGTGGTGAGATGCTTCCACGGGCTCTGGATTCCCTTCATGAGACATCTATTTCAGACATTTTGTTTGTTGTTTTTACTCTTTTCTTTTTTCCCTTCCCCACTGTTCCCGATCAGCGTGATGACTTGTGACCTGCAGGTCAACCAATCACAGCCGAGGTACTCCACCAGACAAAAGGTTTGTATCGGAGGCTCCAAGAAGGAGAATTTGATCTGCAGCTTTTCGCAGCATTCATTGAAAGAAGAGAATAAAATAAAAAACCCTGCCCCGTCTGCCTTACTATTTTTACATTACAGTTACATACAACGTGTATGCAGTTGTTGTCAGTGGGTTTTGCTGAGCAGTTCAGGAACTTCTCAGTGTCCTCCTAGATGGTGCGATGATTCAGAGAAGAAAAATAACCCAGACGGACGTTATTTGGCCGGTGAAGGTTTGCAGACGGGGATTTTGATTCAGTACAATGTTGAGTGGTGAAGTTAACTGTCCTCTGGAGGAAGGGAGTTTGAAAGTCTATTCCCCATGGATCCAAGGATCTCTTGCTCCTTTATCAGTTGTTGTTTACTGCGAGGGCTGGGGGGCCGTGCTCTCGGGCTTGCTGTCCTGCGCGGCGGGAGGTTTGCTGCTCCAGGGGGCGTTGTTTCCCAGAGCAGGGGAGCTGTTGAAGTCGTCCTCGTCGTCCAGGCCGTTGGTGGCGTCGTACTGCGTGTTCTCCAGACGAGTGATCAGACGTTCATCTTCGTCGCCGAACTCGCCCCCCATCAGGGTCGGCTCGCCAACGACCATCACGTCCTGCACAGACGGAGACAGAAACACGGAGACAACGCTGACAAACTGGCAATGACAGAAACACTGTTGCTTGGTGAGCATTTTTAATTTCACCCAGCTGTTCTAGATAAGTAGAACCTGAAACATCAAAACAAACATTGTTTTTCAGCTATTGGGCATGAAAAATACAAATATACATTTAATTTAAAATTAAAATTAAATGAAAACCTAGCCCCCCTGAAAAAGGTCAACCAGTCTAAAACTGTCCTAAGGTTTAGGATGCAGGATGTCAGCATCTTATCTTTGTGTGTGTGTGTGTATATACATTTCTTATTTTAGCTGTTCTCTTCTTCAGGGGTCGCCACAGCAAACCAAGTCGCACGAAGACTTGGCGATTGTTTTTACTCTGGATGTCCTTCCTGATGCAACCATAGACCACCGAGCCACCACAGCCCTCCATGTGGAGCAGAGAGCTGCTATCTAGGACACCAGGGGAGCAGATGGTGGGGGTTAAGGGCCTTGTTCAAGGGCCCAGAGTGGGACAAATGAGGGTGGAGGCAGGTGTGGGTGGTTTACCTATCCCACCCACATTTTGATGTTGTCGGTGCCGGGAGTTGAACCAGCAATCTTCTGATCACAGGCCCACCTTCTAACTTTTGGTTTTTGTGTGACATCTCATGATTTTCAGTGGTCCTCCACATGTCAGAGTCAGAGATTCTATACTGTCGTTCGCACCTCATGTGGTACATGTGGTGGAGCAAAAGTATGTACACAGGGTCCCAGTTACATCCAACAATAACGTGTAAAAGAAAAACAATGATAACATCTAAGGTATGAACTAAGAAAAACATAAAATAAACTAAGCACTAATAGCATAAAAACATTGTCGAACAGCAGCACGAACATGAGCATGAGTCCATGCGCCCCCTCTCCCCCATTAAAACTATTCTGGAGACACCCCTGGTCATGGCCAAAGTAAAAATAAGCTAAACTTCCAGTGCTTTGCAGATCACACGAGATATTGCACTACACACGAGATATTGCACTACACTGCTGCTTGAGATTGTACATAGTTTAAACAATGGAAGAAAACGACTCCAACTCTGTCCGTCCTCAACATGAGAGCATTTTAGTTCAAAGTGAAAGCAGTGATGTGCATTCCTTCAAGAGTTTATTTATGTAAAGAAGAATCACCAAATCAGAAATAATGCTTTTTTAAACATGTAATTCTTAGACAAAAGCACCATCAGAATATCAAACAAAACCTCAATTTACCTCATCAAGTCTTAAGATTAGCATTTGAACTGGTTAAAATAAATTTGTTTCAGGTATATTCAGCCACCTTTAAAGCAAATTTAATTATGGTAATAAAGACTAAGACTCTTGACTGGACCTTCTCATTGAATTACATATTCTACCTGACAGAGGGGTGTGTGTTTTCCTGCTTTAACACCTGTGTGTGTGTTTCGGTATGTTAAGATGAGCCCGGCTGAACCCATTGGTGCGGTCAACCCCTCTCCTGAAGCTCCCTGTGCAAATGAAACCTTCCTGGACAGAGAGTGGCTTCCCCCGGCGCTGCGTTCCCGCCCCAATCAATACTCATCATGTAAGACATATTTCACTGAGATGGCCTCTCACAGCAGGTCGAGGAAGGGAAGGAGAGAGATTTATCCATTATCTACTGATATCTGTGGCTCATGTGATGTCAAGAAACCCTGATGGAGAGGGTCGCCCCAGAACTATTATTTAGTCACGCTTTTAAATTCTCCTGCACAGATAATCACTAGAGTGTAATTTGTGGCTTCAAACACCAATCAATAAGTTTTCAATCATGGCTATATTTGTTTGCAAGTCTTTCATCTCTCCTTGCTGGGGAGCCTCAGCCCTGACTTCTGTAACCTGGGGAAAGCTGTACCGTTAAATGGAGTGAATGCTTCACTGGTCATGTGTGTCAACGCCGCTTGGTTGGGAAATCTCACTCTCCTCAGCCAGCTCCTCTGCAGGAAACGCGTAGAAAACAACCCACCAGCGTGCACGGGGACTGGACATGTGCCAAGATAACCCTACTGTATAATCACATCTGTATACACAATCACACAGGAAGGCAGCTGCATGTAGATTAACCTGCATGTGTTGTTCACATCAACGGTACAGTACCATACAAGAATAACACAACGGAACAAATGCACACAGGTAACTATGACGCCTGCAGCACTTTACAGGTGCAGATAAAGTTGTTTGGGTCTTTTGTTAAAGAAAAGGCATCACAATAGTCACTGATATAACTTGAAATCGACAAAAGCATTAAAAAGGAAAAATATATACACTAAAGAAAATCGGTCATTGATTTTGAATTTTGGTTCAACGGGAATAAAACAAAATAAAAAACAAATAGTGGAACTCTTAACTTAATATTTTGTTGTACAGTAGTCCCTCGCTACTTCGAGGTTCGTTGATCGCAGACTCACTATCGCGTTTTTTCAAAATAAGATGGACATGACACACAAATGGCTGATTGATGGATGAGCCGCACGATCGGCATGGCATTTTTATTTAAAATAAATTATTTTTAATTTAGCACCTGCTGCACCTGCGTGCAGCCCATACTGCAGGATAAACTTCCTGCAGCAGCTGATCAGCTGTTCTCGTGCAGCGTGTAGAAGTGGGCGTGGCTAAGAGCGCTTGCAGGAGGCAAAGAGCAGCAGAGGCACAGAAAGGGAAACGATGACATTCTGTGCTCCTTTAGAGCGTTTAGAGTTTAGAAACATTGTTTAGAATATTGCAAGAATGTGGGAAGGGTTTAAAACGCCTTTATACACTATATAAAATAAAAATAAACTACTACTTAGTACTTGTTCTACTATTCCTACTATGCGTTTTTTCACTTATCGCGGGGCTTCAGGGTACGGATGCCCCGCGATAAACGAGGGACTACAGTACAACTTTTTGAAGCAATCATTGCAGTCAAGTGATTTCTGGAACTCCAATTTTTTCATCTGTCCACAGATATTTTGGCCCCATGCTCATGAGCAAACAGCTCCAGCTGTCTCAGGTTCGAGGGGCTCCTTGTACAGAGTGCATTGTTCAGCTCCTTCCACAGATGTTCAACAGGATTTAGATCAGGGCTCAGCAGGTCACTTCAGGACAGTCTGATGTTTGGTTCAGAGACATTGTTGGGTGGTTTTACTGGGTCTTAGTTGGACTCATGACCTGCAACTGAGACCAAGCTTTCTGACACTGGGTTGTACATTCCTCTTCAGAATATCTTGATTCTTGAGATTGTTTTGCACCCGTAGATTCAAGATACCGAGTCAGATGCAGTAAAGCAGCCCCTGGACCCACGTTCACCCTGTTCCTTTCGCTGTATGTTTTATTTTTGGGTCTGTGAACATACAGCTGATGGGACTTCCTGCCAGTAATCTCCAGATTTGGCTAATCCAGCTACAGCACATTCTCCGAGAAGTGTTGTGACTCGTCAATATATATTGGCAAATTCCAATCTGTTGTTTTTATCTTATTTTTTAACAGTGGTGTCCTGTTCGGTCACCTTCCGTTGAGTTCACTTTGACTCAGACCATGACCAACGGTGTGATCTGACACTGATGAAACCTTGGAGCTCACGTCTAATCTCTTTGGAGATGTTCTGGGATCTTTGGTTACACTCATATTATCTGTCGTTTCAGTTTTCCTCTTATGGTCACATCCAGGGAAGTTGGCTCCAGTCCTGTGGACCTTAAACTTGAATCATCTGTGCAGCTGTAGTCACAGGAACATCAAGCTGCTTGAAGGTCTTTTATCTTTAACATGCAGCTCAGTAATTTTATTGTTCAGCTCCTGAAACAACTCTGTCGTCAGCTTCCTGTGCTCCATGTTCAGCGTGGTACACACCACGATACCAAGCAGCCCTGTGACTACCTTTTAAATAGGAGATTACAAGATTGAAGACAAATGTGATGCTGATTACAGGACAAACCTCAGTCTGACATGTCCCTATGCTCAAATTATTTTAATTTTTTTCTGGATGCGCCATCCGTCAAGGCCAATTTCACCGATAAGTTTTTTAAAAATAATTCCGTTAAACCACAAGTCAAGAGTGATGACTGATTTTCATTAATTGATTCTTAGTAAGGGCGGCACGGTGGCTCGGTAGAGCTGTTGCCTCCCAGTGAGAAGGTTGCCAGTTCAAATCCCGGCCTGGTATCTTTCTGAGTGCAGTTTGCATGTTCTCTCCATGCTGCATAGGTTTTCTCCAGGTACTCCAGTTTCCTACCACAGACCAAAAACATGCATGTTAGACTGATTGGTAACTCTAAATTGTCCCTAGGTGAGAGAGTGAATGGTTGTTTGTCTCATTTGTCTCTATGATGGACTGGAGACCATCCTGGGTGTCCCCCACCTCTCAGACAGTGAATGCTGGACATGGGCACCCGTGACCCCTGTGACCCGAAAAGGAAGAAGCGGGTAAAGATAATGGATGGATTCTTAGTAAATCTTCTCATTATTACTTTTGTCAGTTTCAGATTATTTCAGTATCTACCGGTATTTATTCTCTTTAACTGAAGGGTACATTTAAATGCATCTGTGGGAACTCAATACACTTTGATTGGAAACATGAGGTGGAAAAGCTGTTTGCGTATCTAAGCCATCTTCAGCCCCTCCCAGAGGCCACTTCTACACATCTCTGTGCCTTAATCAGGCTAATTAATTTAGGTGAGCTTTTCAACTAAATGACAATATCCACACTGATCTGTCAATTTGCATAGCTAATTAAGTCATTAGCTAAAAATGTACTGATTGCCAACAAGTCTTGCATTCGCCATCTGTTCCTGTGAGGAGGCCTGTCAACCTACCTCTGGCCAATTTTAGGCACCCCCACCTCCTGAAAAGATACAAACAAACTCTGACGCTAACAGCTGGTGGCTAGCCTGAGACTGGGGAGCGCTAATTGTGAGGTAATTAATACTGTCTACTTGTCTCCTCATCTCTTAAGAGTTGGCTTCTGCACTAGCTGAGCGACGAGGCTT